CAAGTCCTTTTCGCAATTGTCGTATATGAAATCATCATAAACACATACTCTAGTTGTCCTTGTTGATGCGGGGGGCGAGGGGGAAGGGATCTCTTGACCCTTCGCATCAGGAGCTGGCCAAGCTTGTTGCGGTGAAGAAAAAGTTTGCACAGAAGGACAAGGTAAAGAGCAGATGTTGTTTGTGCTGCTGCTACTCCTGCTGCTACTCCTGCTGCTACTCCTGCTGCTACTCATGCTCATGCTCATGCTCCTACTCATGCTCATGCTCATGCTCATGCTCATGCTCATGCTCATGCTCCTGCTGTTGTCGGTGTAGTTGTTGTTGTTGTTGTTGTTGGTGTTGCTGGCGAGTAGATTTTGACGGTGGTGTACTACAGGAGCTCGCCAAGAAGATGTTTGGATGATGAACATGTTGAGAGAGTTCTTGGAGCGAGTTGCTTGACTTGAGTTTATTGATTCTTATGCTCTAGATTAAAGGTGCAGCACAACTACCTTTCTCTCCTGTATCTCTTCACTGCCAACACCAGACGGCTGCGTAGCTCCATTTCCTGACCTCCACTCCTTTCATCGCTACTGCTTGGTTGCGCCCCTCCCTTCAATCTTGCAGCGCTCCGTTGACGTCTTCCTCTCCCTTTCGGACTCGCGGTCTCCTGCGGAAGAGATCTCCCCACGAGCTCACGGTTGCTCGTGCTGCCGCTGCCACCCGCGCGTCCTCCGCCCTCCGCTCCTTCTCCGCATCCATCCTCCTCTCTTCCTTGCTCTTCGAGTCCCATCCGCGCGCACTCCTGGAAGCAAGAGCGGTGCCATGGCGGTCGAAGACGGTGAGGGAGGGCGGGAGGAGGCCCATGCCTCGCGCTCCCGCCGGCCGCAGCATCGTCGTTGTCAGCCGCCAACGTGTAATCGCCATTGGGGAATAGATAGAAGCAGCTCTCAGGGGGGTGGGGGTGGGGTAGTCAAAGAAGGCATATAAAGAAAGGGGGTACTTAAAAGGGATGTGGGGGGTGATGATGGTACATTTGGGGCGCGATCAAGGGTGGGGTGGTCTAGCACCTACATCTCATCCGATACGTCTGGTCGGAGAACGCAAGAGAAACGAAAATGAAGAAGCGGGAGAGGGAGAAGAAGAGGAAGAGAGGGAGAGGGAGAGAGGAGGTGGGGGGAAGAGAGCGGAGGGGGGTCTGGGGAGGAGGAGGGAATGCTGGTGGGGTCAATGATGTGAGATCAGGCAGTTCAAAGGGATGCAACTCCTCCCTTGTCTCTTTTTCTCCCTCTGCCTCGCTCGCTTCCTGATCCTCTTTCTCTTCTCTCCCCCTTGCTCCTTTTCTCTCTCTCCTCCTTCTCTCAAACATACCCCCCATCCCCTCGCTCTCTCTCTCTCTCCTCCTCTTCACCATCTCGGAGGTTTGAGAGCTTCTTGTCGCTGCTTTATCACAAAGGTAGAGAGGAGAGCAAGAGGAGAGAGGAGGGGTAGTGGTAGGGTAGATGAGGGGTAGTGCGAGGTGAGGGGGTGGTTGCAAGAGTCTCTGCTGATCACCGCGCCTGAGCTGCTCGGATGAGCATGCGGGCCCACCTGCATTAGCTCAGTTAGGGTTTAGTTAGAGTTTAGTCAGCTCAGTTAGAGTTTAGTGAGCTCAGTTAGGGTTTAGTTAGAGTTTAGTCAGCTCAGTTAGAGTTTAGTGAGCTCAGTTAGGGTTTAGTCAGCTCAGTTAGGGTTTAGTCAGCTCAGTTAGGGTTTAGTCAGCTCAGTTAGGGTTTAGTCAGCTCAGTTAGGGTTTAGTCAGCTCAGTTAGGGTTTAGTCAGCTCAGTTAGGGTTTAGTCAGCTCAGTTAGGGTTTAGTCAGCTTAGTTCAATAGGGTTTAGTCAGTTCAGTCAGCTAACCTGTCGCGGATCCTTCTAGAAGAAACTCCGAGGACGGTGGGACGAGAACAAGAAGACCTGGAGAGAAGATGAGAGGACGAGAGAAGGAAGGAGAGAAGGACGAGCAAGCAGGTAGTAATTCACTATGTAGGGAGGGAAAGAGGACACGACTGAGAGCGGGAGGGAGATGGAGAGGAGAAGGAGCTTGTGGCGGGAGTCACAGGAGGAAGTTGGCGTGGGTGAGGAGGAAAGGAGCAGGAGAGGGGAAGGGAGAAGTGGAGGAGAAGGAGGAGGAGGTGGAGGGAGTCAGAGACAGGTAGATGACGATGAGGAAGAGGCCGAGAGACTGCTCTGCTGCTGAGCCTTCTGAGATGTTCTTGACGGAGACCAGGCAGGAGTGAAGGTCCAAGCTGCCTCCTGTGGGAGAATGAGGAACGAATCATAAGGAGAGAAGACGAGCTCAGGAGAGAGAAGGAGGAAAGAAGGGCAACGGGAGCATGTGCAGGCGTACTGGGGCTGTTGTCGTGGGGATGGATGTAGTATCGGAGCATGGAGCCTTTGAGCTCGAACCATCTCTTCCTCGTCCCGTTCATCTGCTTGCCCGTTATCACAGTACAACTTATCCTCTACTCCCCACAACCCCCCACTCCCCCCTCCCTCGCCTCACATGGTCCCGCCGCTTGTAGAGCCACCCGAACATCTTCGGTCGCTCCTCCTGTCGCCCCCCTGCCGCTTGTACGACCAGTTGCCGACCGGAGCCGTCGAAGGGGAGGTCGACGAGGCTGCGGAGGCTGCGGGAGGTCAGAGAGGGAAAGTTCTCCAGCCTTGAGCTCGCGCGGCTCAAACTCTCTCGCAGCCTCTCGAGTGCTTCAGGGCGAGCGAAGGGAGGGGCTGCGACAAGCGTTCAGCTGGAGGAGGAGGAGGAGGAGGAGGAGGAGGAGGAGGAGGAGAGAGCAGCAGACGTTGATGGAGAAGAGGACGGAACCCTGGGAGGAAGGAAGGAAGAGAGAAGGAGGGCGGAAGTGCGAGCAGGTCACCTATGCCCATGAGGTGGCCGAGGCCGGGGGCCCAGACAGCAGCAGCAGCAGTGACGAGGCAGGAGGAGTCGCCGACCGGGAAGAAGGTGTACCCTCCAGCTGGGAGATGCCCCCGAACGACCCCAGGGACCTGCCGGCAGTCAGTAGCGTCCAGCTGCGGTCGGTCCCTCACTGTCGGGCAGAGTGGATGCATAACTGACGTAATGGCCAGCGCGTAGCCCTCGCCGCTGGTCTCGTCGGCGACGCAGAGGGCGCGGGAGGAGTCGCGGAGGACGTGGCGCCACGTCATCATCAAGCAGAAGTCTCGCTGCTCGCCGTCAGCTCGCCCTCCTGCCCGGCACCAGCTGGGGGACTCACCGGGGCGAAGGGCCAGGGGGAGGTGAAGCGAAGGTGCCAGACTGACGTCTGATGGCCGTCGTGGTAGAGCAGCCGAGCTGCCTGCCATCCCAACATGAGCCCAGGACGAGCCCAGCAGGCGGGCAAGAGGACCTGGAACGAGGGGTCGAAGTCTTGGCCGCTGGGAAGGCGATAGAGCAAGTGAGAGAGCGCCTGCTCGCCCTTCGCCTCCACCACCAGCTGACTCCGAGCTGCTACTGCCCCGGGCACGCGGCAGATGACCTCACGCTCCTCGCCTTCCTCCGTCTCTCCTCCCTCGTCGCTTTCTCGCCGCTCATGCGCATGCGCGAGCTTGAAGAGGCGGGTGAGAGCCTCGTTCATGGCATTCTCCTCGACCCTCCACTTGTCGGCAAACTTGCGGTCGAGGAGAGAAGAGGCGCTGGCATTGCTGATCACGTCTTGAAGATCCTCTTCTGAGTTGAAGTGATCGGAGGATGCTGAAAACCAGAGTGAACCTCTGCACCCCTTCTCGTCCTCTATCACTCCTCTCCCTCCCCCTCCTCCTGCCCCCACTTCTTCCTTCTCCCTCTCCCTCACCCACACTGTCCGTTTCCTCCTTGAGCAATCGTCGAGAGTTCCTGGAGGAAGTGGACTGGTCGGGATCTACGGGCTCTACTGAGGGCGAACGAGAGCCTCCTCCTCCACCTAGACGCTGACGCGCTAGGAACCTGAGCCGCAAGCTGCTGGGACGTGAGAGGAGGAGGAGGAGGAGGAAGAGGAGGAGGAAGAGGAGGAGGAGGAGACACGACCTGCAGTCCTTGAGGCTTCTCATCCATCGATCTCTCTCATGCTCCGTCTGCCCGAGTGATCGACATGTCAGAAGGAGGAAGCGAGAGCAGAGGGAGGAGTGATCCACGAAGAAGGAGCTAGAGAGGTACAACATTCACAGTGGTGAGGAAGTGCTGAAGGAATCAAAGATAACGAATCATTCGCCTGCTCCCTCCTCCTCTCTTCTCTCTCCCTCCTCTTTCCTCTCTCCTTTCTGACTTACATCAGTTCCCAGCACGTAGTAGATTCCCTGAGGTTGTCCAGTCAGAGCTAATAGTCCAGCGGTCTCCTCACCTTTTCCTCATGCTGCACCACAAACTGATAGATCACCTCCCCGTTTCCTGTTTGCTGCCAACGTCTTCACATACCGAGACAGAGGAGGAAGTGAATGTGAGAGAAGGGAAGGGAGGGAGGGAGGGAGCGAGGGAGGGAGCGAGGGAGCGAGGGAGCGAGGGAGCGAGAGAGGGAGCGAGGGAGCGAGGGAGCGAGGGAGGGAGAGATGGAGCGAGGGAGGGAGCGAGGGAGGGAGAATCATGAAGCACAGGCAAGACAAGGAGCGAGGCAATGAAGCATGGCGAGGCTCGTGGCGTCTAGTGAGCGGAGGAGGAGCTGGCTCGTTTCTTACTGTTGAAACAGGAGAGCATGGATGAACTTGACAGGGTTGCCGAAGATTTCCGCGAGCGCTTGAAGCAAGCAATTCGTAAGCGCAGAGCCGCACAGCACATTGCAGACAGCGTACCGGAATGCTCCTTCCTGCTCGGCAGCAGCAGGAGTCTTCCATCGCGACTCGGCGAGAGAGAGGAGGAGGAGGAGGAGGAGGATGAGGAGGGAAGCGATTCGTCTGGGTCGGGGAGAAGGAGCGATGTGCGAGACGAGAAGTATGTGTTTGACACGAGGTTAGCGGCTGATGACGAGGAGGAGGCAGCGAGTGACAAGGAGGCGAGAGCTCTTCAAGTCTTTCCTCCTCCTCTTGGGGTTGCGTTTCGAAGCCCCGCGAGTGACATTTTCTGCCGGGCAAGCAGGAAGAAGGAGGAGGCGGTGAAGGATCCGATGCGCGTGAGAGTCTCGCTGGAGAGCAAGTCAAGGAAGCATACCATGTCAAATAGTGCCATCAGCAAGGCGATAAAGCAGCAGCTGAAGAGGACTCCCTCGCCTCCTCCTCGTCGTCGCCCTCCTCCTCCTCCTCCTCCTCCTCCTCCTCCTCCTCCTCATGTCTCTTCTCAAGCAGCCGATAGTTCGAGGCCCAAGCCCAGGATCGCGAGATCAGGTACCTAGTCTTGTCTTCTTGGCGAGATCTCACGTGGCTGCTCGGCAAGCGAACGCGAGGGCCTCCGCTTCATCTCACTTCATGAAGAGCACGGCCGCAGCCGACCAGCGACAGCAAATGAAGGTGAAGCAGCGGGATGAGCGAGAGGGCGGGAGACGCGGTCAAGGGAGGGAGGGGGGAGGTAGAAGGGGTCAAGGGAGGGAGGGGGGAGGTAGAAGGGGTCAAGGGAGGGAGGGGGAGGTAGAAGGGGTCAAGGGAGGGAGGGGAGGTAGAAGGGGTCAAGGGAGGGAGGGAGGTCGAGGTCGGGTAGTGGCTGATTGAGTG